TTTTCTTCGGCTTATTTGTTAAGCAATAGTTCCTTGATTGATTTTCTCCCAGAGTTTCTGATTGCTAATTCTTTCTGACCATCTAATCTTCACTTTGAAGCCAGCGAAGGTTGCGGCTGTTAATCAAAAGTCTGCAGATGGCTGTTGGAAATGCTTTTCGTGACCCTGTAGTCAAGTTTCTGACCCATATAGAAGAAATGACCAACTAAACATTGGTGTTGAAAATGCGAATTTGGATATTTATGCAGACCTTCATTAACAGTTGTCTTCGCTCAATACTCAAGATCAGATGGTCAGAAAAGATCAGCAACAGGGATCTCTGACAATGAGTGAACCAACCAGGAACCGATTGCGAAACAAATAGGCAGGAAGAAATGGAGATGGATTGGTCATACTCTGAGGAAACCATCAAGTGACATCACTAGACAAGCCATTGCTCGAGTGGAACCCGAAAGGGAAGTGGCGAGTTGGTCGTCATGGAGAGGGTGACTTGTAGGAGGTCATGTGAAGAGGAGATGAAAGCGTGTGGGTAGACTTGGAGCCAGGTGAAGACTCTAGCAGAGAACAGAACTCAATGAAGACGCACGGCTGAAGCCCTATGTTCCTCTAGGAATTAAAGGAAACAGTAATAATAATAATAAATACTGAGTGTAGAAGATTTCCAAACTGATTTCAGAGTGATAAATGTCTGTCTTGCCATTCCGTTTCCAGTTTTAACATCCTCATCCTTACCACCGCCAGTAATTGATACGGCTGAGGACATCGTGCTGGGTAGTGTTTACCAACACGTTTTGGAAAAAAACACGCATAGAATGTTCCATGTATCCAGCTCCACAAGAGCAGGTGAATTCACATGTGTGCATTTGAGTGGTCTAATTCGGGGGTTTGTCCTCCACACTGCTTAGAAGCAATTGGAGGTAAGAGTATGTCACAACTTAGTGTTGCTGCACGAAAGGTCTTCTTTAAACGGAACTAGAGATTCTCTTCTTTAGAATATCTAAAGCTCATTCTCTCCTTAAATTCAGGTTCGTACGCACTATTTTAGTATAGTATATTTAGTGCCATTACTGCTATAATTATAATTATTATAATAACAGTAATAATACTGTGGTGAGAGCTGTCTGCTAGCCAAAATTGGTAGACACCAATTTACGTCAATGTTTACGTCCCAAATCAGCGTCATGAGAAAGAAAACAAGAACAAAGACTAAAGCAATAATCAATCACAGCAGACTTTGCGTGGGCGGGATACGATTCGCAGTTATATGGTCTGACCTTCAAAGAAACGGCCACAAAGAAATGACAGAATAACTTCCAGTGAGAAAACAACCAATCAGAAGGCGCTGTTTCTCTGTTTATCATAACGAATAATAATGTACATAAAAAGGTATAAATATCTCTTGATTTTCTCAATAAACGATCTGTTGCCTGATCCTTGTCTTCTGTCGTTACAATACTTATGCATTACACAGAAAGATCAATTAAAATGTGTGAAAAGCAAAGTGGGAGATACAGCAAAAGATAAATGTCATATGAATGAATGAGTGAGTAGAAGAACATTAAATCTATAGGCAGTAAGCGGACAAATTGACAAGTTAGTAGTATGACAGGGTAGAAGTAGAAAGCAGGAAATTGTAAAGCTTATAGTATTGGGGAAAATTGTCAAATCTGAGATCTCTGTGAGATCAAAGATTGACTATATCTACCTTTTAATATCAGTAAAAAGTTTGAGCATTGTGGATTAGATCAAATAAAGTATAATTATATTTTAATAGTTTACACACAATGATAAGTTTTGTTATTGGTAATATTTCGAGCAAAATTACTGCCCGTGTTCACACCAGTGTGAACACGGGCAGTAATTTTGCTCGAAATATTACCAATAACAAAACTTATCATTGTGTGTAAACTATTAAAATATAATTATACTTTATATCTACCTTTTATCACTATAAGGAAAAAACCAAAAATAGATTGAGCACAAAGTAACATATTCCGCTTCAATTAGTTCTTCGTCATCAGCTCTACAGATGGTCTGTTAATCAATGAGGATTATCAATTTTAAGATATGAAAGAGGTGAAAATAAATGACAGGAAATCTTCAAGTATTGGCTAGCGGTTACGCTATGTCGTGAATTGGCATAAGTTGGAATTTATGGAACATTGGATTGGATCCCAGTGGCTTAATGGTCTACGAGCTAGCTTGCCTTGTAACCAGAAAGTCCTGGATTCGAATCCAGGTGGTGAGTAATGATGAGGACTCCCAAACCAGGACAAAACAGCTGTCCAGTAATCCCAGGTTTTCCAGTGGTTCTCTAACCAATGTCAGCTCATGATGCAATCCTGATTAGAAATCGTCAAGACAGCTTTATTTATTAGAAGCTGACAACAGAAGACCTTTTCTGAAGCAACTCTAGGAGAGCAAGAGATATGCTCTAGTCAACCATTGTTTCTACGCATTTTGGAGAACGAACCCCCGCATATGACCCTAACTGTATGCTCCTGTGAAGCTAGATAAATAATTCATTCTATGTGCTTTTTTTCAAAACTTGTTGGAGAACACTACCCAGCATAGTTGCAAAGATGAAACACTGGTTCAGTCAGAAGCGCTTTAAGTGAACACCTGCTGTCACAGCATCTCGACTGACTCATTATCATTGAGAGTCGTTTACAAAGTGAACAAAAAAATATCTGCTAAAGGCAGTGCGTTTCTGACTTCTTTACACGCTGCAGAAACCCCCCCCCCCCCCCGCGCTATATGCATCAAGAAGCCAGAGATATGTGTTCAAAATAAAACTAATCCAACCTCTAAATTTACCATACATCCGGTTCTGTTCGTTCGTTTGTTTTTCCACTCTCTTCATTTTCAGTTATAAAAACTATTAATGATTATTTCAATTTGTGCCGATGTTTATCCCAATGAAAGCTGTCTTTGTTAAAAACCATTTTACGCATTACGCGCAACTATTCTCTAATCCTGTGTAATTGTGTTCCTCTATTTCCATTGTATTCTATATATTCACACCTTCAAACTTTCATAGCAAGCTGGAAATTATTCGTACCTTTAATCTTCTTTCGTTGTCATGTTGAATTAAATAATAATAATAATAATACCTGCCTACTTCAAATCTTCAATAATGCCCACCGAAACATCGACTTCACCCTGGAAGTTGAGTTCAACTTAATATTTCATTTCCTTGACATTCAACTACGAAGGAATGCAGACAACCCACTAAGAAGATCCATCTACAAAAAGCCCCCACGGAATGGACAGTTTATTAAATTTCAAAGCTGTGCGCCTCTAAGCATAAAGAGAAACCTAATATACTCTCTTTCCCGGAGGATCCGGAAGATTTTCACTGAAGAATCAATCGATGAAGAATTAATTACAAAATCTCCTAGGGATTTTGACTGAAAATGGATTCCCACCCAGATTTATAGACAACAATCTAAAACCAAGAAAAAAACACCTGAAAAGGTCCAAGTTGACTCCAAAAAGATGCTGATATTGAACCTCGAATTCAAAATTGATACCGAAGTGGAAATTCTCCGTAGACGGCTTTCGAAGTCTCTCTCGGTAGAACATACTTCACCGCCAGCCTACAAATAACATTCTCCTGCAAGAATCTAATCACCCAGCACGTGAAAGACAAGCTGTCTCATTGGGCCACTTCAACGTGCATATACAAGTTAAGTTCACTTGCTCTTGTGGAGCTGAATACATTGGCCGTATCATGCGTCCATTTGTAAAACGAGCTCGGGAACACTATCCAGTATGGTTATCGAAGGGAGAACGCAAAAGGGGTATATAGTTCGATAACATAAATATCTGGTGAATTCTGAACATTCAGCCCCATTTGAAAAGTCCTTCAAAGCCATATATACAAGATCCGATCCAACCTACCAAAGGGAGTGAAATCAAGACATTTAGGAATAACTGAAGCACTGGCGATCCAAAAAACTCAAGCCCACTCTATGTGTCCAAAAGAAATACGTTCAACCGTTGTCCCTACCGAGGCCATCATGAAAAGTCATTCTCACCAATAATGATTATCCTGTTACCTTTCTTGTCCAACCTTCCCGTTTATTTGTTATATTTACCTTTTTAAATGCCTATCTGCATTATTAGATTTGGTTACTGTTTTCACTTTTATATGTCCGAACTTCCTACCTATTTTATTAATACTACGTCCTTAACCTGTAATTATACAAACTGACGAGTTTTCCAGTAATCATAATCCTATTTTGTCTTTTCTACCCAATCTTCCTGATTATTACACATTGGAATTTTTGATTTGACCTTTGATCTAAAATATTTCTAGAATAGTGCCACTACCTACCTACCTTCTGTTTATTACACTTAGTAATTTTGTTAATCTGACCTCTGATCGGAAATAATTCTGGAACTTTCTCACACAAATGTAATATAAGTATATGAATGTACAGCTTCCTAGTTGATGACTTCATCAAAAAGAAAACTTTCATAGCTGAAACCGTCTTTCTAATAATTCCTATGATCCAGTGTGTATATTCCGTGATAATAACAATAATAATAATCAGTATTATAACTATATGAACTCAAGGACGCAAAAATGCAACTGTCCAGCTGCCTTTGGAGTCGCTGCTTGCTCTAACCACACCTCATGTGGGACGGGGTCGATCTCCCGACCACGGACGCATTTCTTTACCTCGCTAAGCCAGTAAATAAGACTAGTCAAGAGGGAAGGTGTTGGGCAACACGAGGCTAACAACCCCATCCCGTAAAAGTAATAAACACCACTGCTACCGATACTTCAAAAAGCTCTGGCTTGAACCCCCCCCCCTTGTGTTCCACTAGGAACGTACAGCTGCTTTTGAGAATGAAATCGACGGAAAGATAAGTCTGTTTGTGGAGCTTCTTGTTGTTTTCTCTCTCTCTCCAATGTGAACAGGGGAAATCACACACACACACCGCTTTCCCGCTACTGCCCACCCACTGAACAAAATAAAATGAATACAGTGTCTCATAAAAGAGGTATGTATATATTTTGTAAAAAAAAATTATTATCTAATTTTCTATACACAAATAGTCGACTAAAGAAGAGAGATAAGGAAAGAGCGAGGGAAACAAGAAAAAAAAGGCTGGGGAGCGCAAAGGTAATTATCAAGTTGAATTAGCGTTTTGTACATTTTTTCGCCAATTCTTCAGCTTTCAACAAGTATTCATCTGCTTTCACCTTATCGACTTCAACTCCACCATCACCGTTTGTATACATTTTAGCAATATTACGACATGATAATTCATGACCTAACCGACAACCATCCATCCATGCTTTAAAGGCTTCACTGAGCAGTTGTTGTTGTCGCTGGTGATGCTGACTACTGCCACTGCTAACCGATTTATCAGAATCGGCTGTATCAATCGGCTTTTGTACTTGTTGTCGTTTAGCTAACACCATTGCTGCCCCACCAAGGTGGAAACAACTCTCGGGTAGATTGTACTGACAGCCTAATCTGAACAATGGCAGGGCTGTAGACAAATCTGGTGTATGACTAGCGATACCCTCAGCGACAAGACGACCAGCAGCCTAACAGGAATGATGATAATGTTTTAAAAAAGAAAAACAGAAAACGGTAAGTTAATTAAAATACGTCAACCAAATTAAAAGGGAAAACCAACCTGTAGATAACAGAAAACTTGGGATACAACAATATGAAATGATCACAGCTTTGATCGCGAGTTGACCACAGCCATAGAACCATTGGCAAAACCAGGAAGTACTAGAGAGCTGTTTCGTCTCAGCGCTTAGGACTCCTCATCAGCCCACAATCACCAGGATTCAAGCCCACGACCTTCCGGTTACAAGGCGACCTTGCTGACTGTTTAAAGCCACTGAGGACCATAAATTCCAACTTCTGCCAATTCGCGATATATATATATATATATATATATATATATAGTGCAACCGCCAGCCAAATGTCATAAGCGAGTAATAGTTCTCTCGCCTAACTTGATGGACCCCACTGATCACTTTTCACTGAGACTCTAGGCAACCTGACACATAGAACCCTCTAACCGGAAGGTCTTGAACTTATTTTTTTTTAATTTTTATTTTTAATTATAGCTTGATTCTACACCGTATTTTTGGTACAAGTATGGAATTTTCAGCATACGATACCGATAGCCCAAATTTTGCAGTCCAACCATTGATATTTGGTGTGCGTCAGCTGGGGATCGAACTCCGGACCATTTGCATGGTCGGCGAGAGTCCTAACCGCTGTGCCACCGACGTACAATGAAAGTTTCGAACCCCGATGGAGGCGTACTGATGAAAAGTCGCATACTACGACGAAACGGTTGTTCAATACGTTTTGGTTTTTTAAATGCTCCTCTACCTGATGTCAGCTCGTTAGAAGACAAAAAAGAAGAGCTAAGCATTAAAAAATATTCTTCATTTAGTTGTGTTCTCTGAGCTGGTTGATTTAATTATGCACAACACAAGATCCAACAGAAAAACAAAATTAAGATTATTGCCGTTTGCGAAATAAATTGCATATGAACTGAAATAAACATTACATTGCTCAAATTAGGAGTCACCTTCGAGTCCGAATCTATGAATACAAGTTTGATGTAAAAACACACTATATGCAATCTTTCAGACTGATGGTTGCAGATAATTACGGAAACGGATTTCGTCGGGATAATGTAAAGATTTTAAATAAGGGGAAACACCAGACAGTAATGACAGGGAATTTCTAAAAGCCTTGTACTCAAATGAATTGCTACTGACCAAATTTACCAATGAATAAAAAATAAATCACATAACAGGAAAGTTCAAATTACCGGTCAATAAAAATAATCAATAGAGAAGTAAATTAAGAACCAATCACGACAAAGGAGGATGTCAGCAGACACATTTATACCATTCATGGAAGAAGAAGAAGAATACGAATAAGTTCATTTCATACTGAAACCTGTGCTGAAGATGTTGTTGTTTAGAAGGACAATACCATCTACCAAAATCTGATCTTCACCAGCTGTGTGTCATAGACACTATGTTGGTCATAGTGCGCAGTCCCCTTCGTCTCCGAGTTCAAAAACATAAGCTAGCTACGGGAAGACACTACATGTATTCCTGGCTTCACATCGATACATGCAGGACAACAATACACACCACCAATTTCACTGAGAGAATGTAGACATTTTCAACAGTGGAAACACCAGAATTAATGCCATGGAATTCCTAGAGCCTTAGTACTCATATGAATCAGCGATTAACAGAGACATTACTATGGATCACATATATATCAATTAACAGAGTGAATAAATTATATAACACAAAAAGAGGTTCTAATTTCAAATTAATAAGAAAGACCAATATTATTTAATTATCATTCTATTCCTTTACGTTCCCAGTGGAACATAGGGGGCTTAAAACTAGAGCTCTTTTGAAGTATCGGTAGCAGTGGTGTTTATTTTTTATTTATGGGGTGGGGTCGCCAGCCTCATATGCCCAAAACCTTCCCTCTTGACTAGTGTTATTACTAGCTTAGCGAGGCAAAGGAGTGCGTGTGGCAGGGGGATCGAACCCCAGACCACATGAAGCGTGATTGGTTCGGCGAGCATTCTACCATTGTGCCACCAACGCACACAAGACCAATAACTCATACAATTTAACAAACAATCACAACAAAGGAGGTTTGTCTAGAGATACAATTATATCATCACTCACACAGAGAATTCAAATAAGTTCACACCTCATACAGAAGTTTGCACCGACGATGTTGTCTAGAAAGACAACGAAAGCTTCCCAATTAAATCAACCATGTCACAGAGAACATACACAGAAATCAAAAACTAATGAGTAGAGTTTTGATTTAAAAGATGACAAGACATGGATACATAGGCGCCATTGTAAACAATTTAGAGCCATATTTTTTTTAAAGTCGCCAATCATTAATTCTCAATACTTCCAGGGGTGTCTACCCGCACAATCTACACTACCATCACCACCACTACCCCGCTATTTCTTCCAAACTAATAACAGTAGTCAACAAATTCATGTTTACTGACAGAGAAAAATAACAAAAAACGGCAAAAAATAAAACAAAGCTAAACTGGTGATAAATCTGCCATTTTAGATCTTACCTTTACATTCCAATACAATATAATAATAAAAAGAAAGTACATGCCGCATACCCCTTGTCTCATAATGATTATCTTAAACTGGGGTATTACTCTCTGTTTGGTGTGTTTTGTTTTTATACATTTGCGTCACGATATCTGTATCATACCGATCTGCTTACTCCAAGGTAAAGTTTCCTGTTCCTTAATTGCTTACAGCCTCTCCCATACCTCAACCCCCAAGTCCTCGTTCGCCTCGTATTACGCATAGAAAAACACTCCTTTTCCTACGACGTACTGCCACATTATTACGATCAATAAAACACAAAATTGGAACATTAAAGGAACCAAGCGATACACTGGGATACTCCTCGGATGTCCAGACCGAAGCGGGTGGTCGTCCTTAGAGGTCACCCAACCCCCACGAGTCCAACCAGCACCCACTGACTGACTGACTAGTTTCAACACAAAACTCTGAACAGATGTGCACCAATTCAACTTGCCACAGAAGTGTGATTCAGGGAAAAAGAATAGTAAGAAAAATGGAAAAACAATAGAGTTTTATTGGACATGACAAATCACAACAAAGAGTGAGTGCATCTGCGCCAGCCATTCGGAACGATTTTCAGTCAAATCACCAACTGTCTCCAGCCTTCATTGGTTCTTACCATCCTGAGAACCCCAAACAGTCAGGCAGTCTACAGCCATCCGCCTAAGTGGTTGGCTTAAACTAACTGTTATGGATTTCACTGACTAATGAGGCCATGTTTTGGTTTGACCACCACTAGCTCTCCTCCAAGCTGATCCACAAGTCAGTGAAGCTGCATTCCTATGGCTGCCGGTGACTAAAACCCATTCGATCTATTGGGATCCTGGAGCCCATATACACCACAAAGTTTGTAACCAAGATTTTTCCAGATCCCCTGGGTAGGTAGACCTGCATGTCCACCGGTCCGGTTGGAAGAATCAAACGTCCGCATTCACCCTTACACTTTTGTGAGGAACGCCCCCACCCGACGTGAGGGCAGTGAATAACGATTTATTTGCCAGAGGTAAGCTGTGAACACATGGCTATATGAGAGCATTTCAAGAGGACGACATAAGTCTATCCACCCGTGGCCGTACCATGCCGTCCACGGGATATGATACGACTATGAGCAATAGATTGTGCTCGAAACGTGGTCATCAGTTAATATTACTGTACAACACTGTGTGACACTTTATCAAAATAAAATCTCATCCATAATGGAGTTATGCTCTACCACAGTGCCCAAGTTTTATACTTATATCGTCCAAGGGAGTTTAATCAATATGACCATATATGCATGTTTACTTCACTACACGCGTTCCGGAAGGAACACAGGGGTTTAAGTTTTGAAATTTTAATAGACGTGATGTTATTTTTTACAGGGTGGGATTGCTAGACCTACCATTTTACCACACTGGACACCACAGACATACACGACAACCACCTACAACATAGTTATCCTTTCCGTTTTTTTTTTCATGTTGAAGAAAATTAAGCCTATTCATCCATGGAAGGAAAAAGTGCGTTTTTTTTCCTTTCCCACTAACGCTCTGCCGCCTCCCACCCTCCTCCTTTCGTTGTGTATCATTATTCATCTACGATTCCATGCGACAATTTCTCACTCATTAAGTAGGCAGAAACAAGTGAGACATGAAAATTTACGTTGAGACGTTATATTTAAAACAAGAACAACAATTAAATCAGGCGGAAAAAAATATGTATACATGTATGTCATAAACAGCCCTGCACTAATTGGAAAACAGTTTCTAAACAATACAACCATGAGAAATAGCACAAAAAATCTACATTAAATTAGACAGTATTGTGGTTTGTTTTCTTTTCTAAAACATATAAATATATACTGTGACATCCGACTATTGATTAAAAGATGTTTATTATGCAACAGTGCGTTCTACTGTTCTACTTCATGTCTGTAAAACATGCTCATCGATGCAAGTGGGACATAATTATTGGGTTAGACATCTTTGATCATAGTTATCTGCATTCCGTCTACCGTATTAGACGGCATAATATGGTCAAAGTATTCGTAATCTTCGCCTAGCTTACTAGGCAAAGACGCTGACAAATGCAGAGGCTTCTGAACATCGTGAGCTGCAATCTACGAATGTTTGGCATGCAATTCGCTCCCACCAAATGTAAGATGATGCTAAAGGACTAGACTGGACTACACTGACTCCTAGTTCAGAAATAGGGAGTGAAGTGGTAGAGCACGTTGACCGCTTCACTTATTTGGGAAGTTGCATCAGCCCTAACGCGTTGATCTCTGACGAAATCTCAGCACGGATACAGAGGGCTAGTTTCGCATATGCCAGTTTACGCCGTCCCTGGCTTAGTAGACGTGATATCCGCCTATCAACCAAAGGGCGGGTGTGCTGTTCACCAGTCTGCTCCGTCCTCCTTTATGGCTGTCTGCGGGGCATGGCCATTGAGAGTAGAAGACATGAAAAGCCTGATTAGTTGTCTTTGATCATAGGTGCCTGCGTTCTATCTCCCGTGTTAGGTGGCACAATAGGGTGAGCAATATTGAGGTTAGGCGTCGAGTGAGTGTTAGGTAAGGAGGGGAAATCAATCGACGAGGCTGTGAAATTACACCGACTGAGATAGTTAGGCCATGTATTACGCATGCCTAGCCATCGATCGCCTTCCTCGACGGGCAATGTTAGCTGACATAGGGTCAGTGGTGGTCAAACCCAGACATGGCCTCGTCAGTCAATGAACATAACAGTTAGTTTAAGCCAGTCACGTGGGAAGGTGTAGACTTCATAGTTGGGGTCCTCGGGACGATAAAACCAATGACTGCTGGAGACAGTTGGTGATATGGCAGAAGATTCTTCTGAATGACGTAGATGCATTCGCTCCTTGTGACTTATGATTTCCAATTAAACTGTATTGTTCTTCGTTATTACTATTCCTTTGTCTCACACCTCTGTTTACTGTCTCTATTATGCATTTCTTCTACTTTCTTCTCCTGCTTTGTGTGCTACATAGAATGTGGCGAATTGAACTGCTGCACATCGGTGCAAAGTTCTATGTCGAAAACAGACAGACTAGCTTACTAGGCGATAGTAAGTTCCCCGGAGAAGAGGGAAGTTTACAAATGAAACAAGCAATCTTACATCACCAGTAACAAATCACAACTCTGCTAATGAAACTTCAAAGTTTGAACCTCTATATATCACTCAGAAGTCAAAGGAATCCAAAAAAAAGTAGAGGGTAGAAAGGGAAACCAATCGATAAGCTTTGGCAGCTCTACACCTTGACTGAGATGACAGCTAGGGCACATGCTACACACACACAGTAAGCCATCGTCTTCCTCATCCATTAATGTTAGCTGAAATATAATTAGGTTGGAAAAGATCTAGGGTTAGTCAAAGCATCAATTGATGAAGACTTTGGCTATCGATTCAAACCATGTAGGCGAGTGTAGACAAACAGTTTGAGGTGAAATTATGTAGATTGTTCAAACAAATTGAGAGTTTTGTTCAACCTATCGCCAGTTCGAACAAGAAGCTACAGCCGGAAATCGGATGGTTTAAGCAGATTCAACTCATATAGCCGAGTCAAACAGGATAAACCTCCTCTGATAAGATAAGCCCCAAACGAGGGGGACGGTTATCCGGTGTTTAAATCACTTCAGTTTGGCTGGTATCGAGTGCTAGGTAGGGAGGCAAAATCAATCGCAAGAGGATGAGAAGTTAAATCGATTCAGATGGTTAGGACATGTGTTACTCATACCCAGCCATCGCCTTCCTCGACGGGCAATATTAGCTGACACAGAATGGATCAGGTTGCAAAAGATCAAACCAAAACATGACCTCATCAGTCAACTAAGTCTATAACAGTTAGTTTAAGTTAGACAGCCAGCCGAGTAGGGAGGTGTAGACTGGCTGGCTGTCTGGTTGGGGGGTCCTCGGGATAGTAAGAACCAATGACAGCTGGAGACAATTAGTTATATGGCTCAAAATCGTTCTCAGTGGCTGGCGTAGATGCATTCACTCTGTGTGACTTATTTATTATGTCCAATAAAACTGTGTTGGCCTTCTCTATATTACTATTCTTTTTGTCTTATGTTTTTGTTTATTATCTGTCTTTTGAATTTCCCTTTACTCTTTTCTCTTGCTTTGTGTGTTACATGGAGAGTGTGGCAACTGGAACTGGTGTACATCTATCTGGGCAAAGTTCTATACTGAAACCAGTCAGCCAGTCGATCTGGTTGGTTAGCAAGCACTACTGGGGTTGATATGAGTGATATACAACTGCTCATCTCAATCAACCCATCAGTGTGTGGTTCTATGAATCAGTACACCTCAATCCCGTATGAGGCCACTCAATATGAATAATCCCACTGGGAGTCAATTGAACAACATATATAAACGAGATGCTGGGTAGAATAATTTCCTCTTAGAACAGGGAAACTTTCTTACAGACACATCTTAATAAGCATGATCCACTAAATACTCGATGAATAAACCAAAACTAAAGCACATAAACATTATCTATCAAAGAACCTCGCAGTTTAAATTCTCCTTTCATTCCTTTGCGTTTCGAGTACAACATGGAGCTTTACGCTTGAGTTTTCAAGTGTCAGTAGCGGTAGTCTTGTTATTTTTACAAGATGGGGTTCCTACTTTCTCAGGATTATTACTGGCTATGCGGTTTAGGATTGCGTGTGCTATCACTGGCTAGCTGAACCGCTGACGCTCTTTACAATACATTATATTATTATTATTATTGTATCCTTTAATTCCTACAGGAACATAGGGCTTCAGCCGTGCGTCTCCATTGCGTTCTGTTTTCTGCTAGAGTCTTCACCTGGCTCCATGTCTGCCCACACGTTTTCATCTCTTCACATGACCTCCTCCATGTCACCCTTGCACTGACGACCAACTCGCCGCTTCCCTTTCGGGTTCCACTCAAGGGCTTGTCTAGTGATGTCACTTGATGGTTTCCTAAGAGTATGGCTAATCCACCTCCATTTCTTCCTGCCTATTTGTTTCACAATCGGTTCCTGGTTGGTTCGCTCCCAAGGATCCCTGTTTCTGATCTTTTCTGGCCATCTGATCTTGAGTAGTGTTGAGCGAAGGCAACTGTTAATGAAGGTCTGTAGTTTGTTTGAGATGCTCTTTATGACGCGCAGTGCAAGTTTCTGATCCGTATAGTAGCACTGACTGACTTCACATTGGAGTTGAAAATCCGGATCTTACTTTTCATGCTGAGTGTTGTTGACCTCCACACAGACTTGAGAGTAGTGAAAGCTTGTCTTGCTTTTCCGATCCTTGCTTTGATATCCTCGTCAGTTCCGCCTGTAGTTGAAACGATGCTTCCCATGTGGGTAGGTAAAAGAGGTTGTTTCTTTCAGGTTCGTTCCATTTATGCTGATTGTTGTCAGTTGTTGTTGTTGCTGGTGGTGGTGTTGCCCAGGAATTTTCATCACCTCTGTTTTCTCTATGTTCACCTGAAGTCCTATCTTTGATGCTTCTTCTGTTAACTTGTTGCTTTTCGCTTGCATGTCTTCCAGTTTGTGGGAAATCAGACATATCATCGGCGAAGTCCAGATCCTCCAAGTTTTTTGTGTGTCCATTTTATGCCTGTTTCCTCATTGCCCACTGTTTATCGCATTATCCACAATACATGTTGTACAAAAAATTGATAACAGCAAGTGGAAATAGCATAAATAAACATTCTGAATTCTTTCTCCTGGTTTTTAATCACAAGTTCAAGAAGAGGACCATGGAAGTCAACTTTAATAACTGACTGACTGACTGACTTCTGTCACCTAAGACTTTACAATTCACATGTGACAATTTAACCAGATGAGTGTAATGCTGCAAAGCAACGGTTCCTCCCCCCACCCCGCTACCCTTATTAGAATACATTTCGCCGTGCAGTATTGCGTAATACACTTAACTTTCAACGAGCAACTGTATATCTCATTTAGAAAATAGCTGACAAATCAGGATGAAAACCAAAAGTACATTTTGTAAATATGTACTGACCAAGGCGACCAACAAACAATTATTAACCAGCTCTACTACAGGTAAAATGACACAAAATAAGATTTGACACCACTTTAACTGTTTAGAAAAAAATCATTGTTAAGACGGTAATCAACTTTCATAAAAAAAAGGGGGAATAACTCACCTGACAACATTTTCCTTGTTTCCCTGCCTTACACCCATGTTCAAATGCTTGATAAGCTTCCAATGGATCTCGTAATACACCAGTATCACCAATCACCTTCATAGAACCAAGTTGAAAACAACTATCTGCATAATGACGCTTAAAACAATTCTCTCTGAAGATATCCACAGTTTTATGAAGCATCTTTTTATAATTTTGATACCAAACAGCCCATGAATGACAACCTTTATTATTATTTTTTTTAAATCATTAGATCAAAAAAATGGCAACCTACTCACTGACGGGATTGTTTTCACGTACACAACCATATTCAAAGCTCATTCCTAAATTTTCCAAGTCATCGTGCATTTCAGTTGGCGTTTTTACAGTTAACATTCCAGCGTCAGTCATTTCTAAATAACAAAAAAAAACAGAAAAAGCAGAGCAAGAGTTACTTCAATTCATTAGAAATACAAAAAACGAATGCACGAAAGACAATTAAAAAAATGAAACTAAGTGAAAGGACTAAGAAATACGATTTATTGACCTGAAGAGTAATAAGTAGACTTCAGAACTGTTTGTTTAACCAGCTAGATAGCACTACCAATGCTCTACATACCTACTCTCCTAGCTTAAAAGTAGGGAGTGAAATAGCTGAGTATGTTGACCACCTCATTTACTGGGGAAATTGTATCATCCCTAATGGATTGACCCCAGACGAAACTTCAGCATAGACACGAAAACGTCGTGAGGTAATTGCCAACTTACGTCATCTCTGGAGTGGACGTGATATCCAGCTAGCAGCCGAAGGACGTGTGTACTGCACACCTGTTTGCTCCGTCCTCCTTAAAGGCTGAGACATGACCATTGAAAGTGGAAGACATAGAATGGCCAACTATCTTTGACTAGAGATGTTTGCCCTCTGTCTCCCGTGTTAAGTGGTATAATATTAAGGTTAGGGGTATTGGAGTGTTAGGTGAGGAGGTTAAGTCAATCGATGAAGTTGTGAAGCATCTCAAGTCACCATGTCCTTTAACGGGTTTATGCTGGAGAAGAGTTAGGGAGTGATCAAATCAAAACCTCGGATCAGTCTATGAAGTCCTTGACAGTTGGCTTGAGCCGGTCACGTAGGGGTCATCCAGATGCTAAAATCCAATAGCTCAAGGTTATTGGTGATAACTGGCTTAAAGTTATTTTTCAATGGTGGAGATGCATTCAACTCTGTATGATCTCCAATATACATTAAACCTTATGTTTTGCTATATGAATATTTTCTTCTCCGTCTCATTTTCGCTAATTATAGTTCTATTGAACATCTTAACTCCTTCTCCTTATCTTTGTGTACTATATGGAGTGTGGCAAGTTAAACTGCTACACTTTTATGCAGAGTTCTATATCGAAATTCAATAGGTCAGTCAGACAGGCTACACATCGAGTGCTGAAGTTAGCGAAGTGTATTTCAAATTTATCTGCGATTGGTGAGAACCACTTTTGACAACAGCCCATTATAAGCCAGTGGATAAATATGTCTGCATAATTGTAAACTGTAAGAAATATCATGACTGTGAAGCTGAGCTCAAGAAATTATATTAAAACTTCTATTTGTTTTCTTAATCATCACAGAACACTTGTCAAACTGGGTGGTGGAAATTTAATCGATTTCTTTTCTTTCATCTGTGAGGGATGCCCACTATCACCGTTTCTATTCAATTTCATCATAGATGTACTAATGGACTTAACCCTAACTTACTTCAGCGACTCATGGATTCACTTGTTACCAGGGAATAATCTTGTTGACTTTGAATGTGCAGATGATACAGTCCTCCCAGCTAGATGAAGATGCTGACAAAATGCAGTCTTCTGAACGCTTTGAGCTGCAATCTACGAATGTTTGGCATAAGATTCGCTCCTGCCAAATGTAAGATGATGTTACAGGACTGGACCAGATTGACTCCTAGCTTAGAAATAGGGAGTGAAGTTGTTGGTGAGGCGTGTTGACAACTTCACTTATTTGGGAAGTTGCATCAACCAGCGCCAACAGGTTGATCGCAGACGAAATCTCAGAACGGATACAAAGGGCTTGTTTCGCATATGCCAGTTTACGCCATCTCTGGCTTAGTAGACGTGATATCCTGCTGGCTATCGACCAAGGGGTGGGTGTACTACTCAGTCCGCTCCGTCCTCCTTTATGGCTGTAAGTGAGACCTGGCCATTCAGAGTGGAAGACAGGAAAAGCCTGCCTACCTGTCTTTGATCATAGGTGCCTGAGTTCTATCTCCCGTGTGAAATGGTATAATGGGGTGAGCAATATTGAAGTTAGGCTCGAGTGCTAGGTAAGGTGGGGAAATCAATCAATGAGGCTGTGAAGCTACATCGACTGAGATGGTTAGGAAATGTGTTACGTAGGCATACCTAGCCATCGCCTTCTTCGACAATGGGCAATGTTAGCTGACATAGGGTCAGGCTGGAAAAGAGCTAGCGGCGGTCAAACCAAAACATGGCCTCACCAGTCACTGAAATCCACAACAGTTAGTCTACACCATGTAGGAAGGTGTACACTCTGGTTGGGGTCCTCGGGACGGTAAAAACCAATGGCTGGAAACAATCGGTGATATGGCTCAAAATCATTCTCAATGGTTGACGCAGATGCATCCACTCCTTGTAACTTATAATTTCCAATGGAACTTTATTGTTCTTCGTTACTACTGTCCCTTATGTCTCATTTCTCTGTCTACTGTCTCTATTATGCATTTCTTCTACCTTCTCTTGTTTTGTGTGCTACATGGAGTGTGATGACTCAAACTGCTGCACATTGGTACAAAGTTCTATATTGAAAAAAGTCTTTCATCTGACAGTATTACTTAAAAGCGAGATACTTTCTGCTCGAATTTTTTTAAAAGCATTACAAAAATGCATCAGATGTCAGTGCCTGTTGCATAGGCCTGACCAGACTTGTATAGGACACAACAAAATCCTTAAAAGTATCATTTATCTTATAATACTACGTAAACATTATTGCACAGTTCTCTTCCATTTCATACGTTATCCACATTTTATACAAAAAACAAAAATCCAGACCCTTTAGTCTATCAGAAAGTTTCAAACTTTTGAAGGTATAATGAAATTCAAATATTTGATTGTAAAAAGAACGAACTTGTAACAACAGAAGGTTAACAGTGAACATATTTATACATGGTGAGAAATGAATGTACTCCTATGTTAAGGTTTAGGGTACTATTTAGAACTAATGTAAGTCTTACTTCCAAACCTGTATATTCCCAAACTTCAAGAAGTTCCGTTTCTCACTATAGAGTTCCCGACCAGATAATGTCCTTATTTATATTAACACTAAAGATTTTCAGTGACAGTGTTCACGCTTGGTCATTTAGTAACACGGCGAGTCACACAATTACCAACACTGTTATGAGCCATGCCTAATATCATGAACCACTGAGTCACATGATTATCTAAGTCCTACCTGCAGTCGCGAATAGTTTCATTGATAGCTAACTTTGTGGCATCGGTGGATCATATGAACTACGCAAAATGCAGAGTCTTTTGAACACCTTGAGGTGCAATAAACGAATGTTTGGCATGAGAGTCGCTCCCGCAAAATATCAGGTCAGGTTAGAAAAGAGCTAGAGGCGGTTAAACCAAAACATGGCACCAATCCACATAAGAAGGTGTAGACTTTCTGGACAGGGTTCTCGGGACGGTAAAAACCAATGGCTGGAGACAATTGTCTCGGCGATATGGCTCGAAATCGTCTTCAATGGCTAACGCAGATGCATCCACTCCTTGTGACTTATGATTTCCAGTGAAACTATATTGTTCTTCGCTATTACTATTCCTTTCTCTCATATCCGTGTCTACTGTCTCTATTATGCATTTCTTCTACTTTCTTCTCTTGCTTTGTGTGCTACATGGAGTGTGGCAACTTGAACTGCTGCACATCGGTGAAAAGTTCTATGTTGAAAACAGACATCATATAAACTAGAACAGCTTTCGAAAACTTTTAGACACCACCGAACAAAAGCACGTTCCATACATTAAACTTTGCAGTGCTTACTTCAGAGTTTAGAATGGACAACCTAGCTATCCCACTTACGTGTAATAAAACCGACAGCAAGTGGGTTCATGCTAACATGTTAGAAAAACTGTTTATATTGCGTTTTGATTCGCTACAGCAGCAACCTTTTAATGGATTCTTCTAGGAACTTGGACTCTAGTCAGGTATCTAACTGAGTTGATTTTACACCATTTACTGAGTTCAAGCTTGCAACTTACACGATTTTACCATGTTATCTATGAAAAACATTTTGCCTAACGGTTTGAAAAATCAGAAAAAACGACTAGTTAGACCTTATATATTTACAAACGAATAAGAAGCAAGCTAAAGCTGCCTAGTAAACCTACTGCAATAATCCAAACGTTGGTAAACAACGTGATGTAGCGCAAGATTCAAGCCAGGTCAAAAATAAACTGAAGTCCAATATTTCAGGTTGTAATGGAAGGCTGGCAAGACCATAAGATATACCTGAGAATTGCTTGTACTGCAGCTACAACCCTCTCAGTCTTTCAGAGTAACAATTATGCTAAAATTAGTGATAATGTCATATTCTGATTATATGGGATTTTGTTTGCCTGCAAGCCCATGTTAACCCCTAATTAATAAATATCTGTGCTTCTCTAACTCGCTTTTGACTGATGCGTTTCGGCGCATAGATACTGAGTTTCCCAAGGGTTGGTTCCAAGAATTTATGATTCAGCGAGAAATTACTCCAATGTGAAATGGTTCCTTAATGGTCTTCACACTCCCTTGAAATATCCTTCAAATATTCTAACCTGAGGAAAAAATAGGACAGGTCAGGTATCTAGGCATTTCTTAGAGTTTCGATCCAATTTCCGCCTACTTTTTGATAAGATACTCAAATTCTTCTCCATTCCTGGCACTATAAGTTGGTTGCACCAGTAATTTCACGTTCTGCGTTTCTTTAAACTCTCCCAAGAATTTACAAGTCTCCCTATTTGCAAGGAATGGCCATGTGGATGGCGTTTCCAAGTTTTGACCGCATCACATACGCATACAAAAAAGTGGTAACTCCACTAGTAATTGGATATCACATTTGCGACTGTGACTGACATTTACTCGATATTAGAATATTTGTAACTGTTTGTTAGTTCGTTAAGTGGGACATGCTTGGGTGCGGCATTATATTCTGCCTTCTTGGACGCCTATTAAATCTACGCTACCTGACCACTGTAATATGATGTGAGCCCCATCTCAGTCAAATCACCTTTGGCTATACTATTCAGGCGCCGTTTAGGAAGGAGAGTATGGACAACGTCACTTCCACTGATTTTTCTTATAATATGCGAGAGCGAGAAGATTCTTGATGACTCTAAACTATAGCAGCCCAAACTGAAACTATCTAGTGAACGGTTAAATGATCTTGACAGCGACAGCGTTGACCAACCAGACGCGTCTGTGGTAAAAGCACATAATTTGTATAAAACGTTTATATAAATGTAATGCAATGTTAAAAAATAGCTACAAAGGATAACGTTCTCGTATATGTCCGAAACAGCCTCCCAATTTCTCATGGGAGGCTTCACAGTTATGGTAAACCAAATTGAGATAACTGTATATCATTACATTTCTTGATCCATTCACAGATCTGATCCGGTTTTTGAGGTGATTCCAAAAATTTTTGATGGAATTATTGTGAGTTCCATCGAAAGGATTGATGAAATCATTTGTATGGCTGCGACATGACGAAGATAGCCCAGGGTTGATAGCTGACTAAAACTACTCCATTCATGTTTATGAACAGTTGTTTCAGGCAGCACTAAGCTTTGGATAATAGGCAATAAGACATTTGCACTGTGATTAGGGATCGCTTTAATATATCCTTTGCGGAGGGTGGCGTTATATACCTCCATCACCCACTGCTGATTCGCACTCGATACCCCCCAATTATATTCCCTCTTTATCAGAACTGCCTCATCCAGGTGAACAATGACTCCAACTCCGTCAAGTGCGTCGGCGGCGCTGGGGTTAGGACTCTCGCCGACCATGCACATGGTCCGGGGTTCGATCCCCTGCCGACGCACACCCGATATCTATGGTCGGCCTGCGAAATTTGGGCTACCGATATCCATGCTGAAAATGCCATACTTGTACTGAAAATACGGTGTCGCATCAAGCTGTAATCAAAATAAAAAATAAATAAATAAAGTACTTGAGCCAGCCTGTTCATTTTACATGATGTTATGTCTCTGCGGTACTGGTACCATTGCACTGCAGACACTTCTGAATTTTCTGTTTCATACGCTGTTGCTGTTACTGGTCTTTTAAGCACCCGGTTATGACACATCATTCAAATTTTAGTTAGAGGTAACTTAGACTTGGCGAAAAGTACCTATGGAGTCTGTAGGCTAAAAAACGGCATACCTTCTCGAAATGACTTTCGGTTTCGGCACTCATCGCACCTGTAAACAGATCCATCAATGCACCTAGTATGACCTTCCTATCAGTTTGTTCTACATACAGTAATGAAAAACAAGATCTGGATCGAATTTGACACGCAAAAGGTGTACAGCATTCATAAGTACGTCAGTGTAGTACGGATTCCTCCGATTGGTTGCTCAAGGTCATTTATCCGTTCGCTAAGTAGTTTCGGTTTGGGCCACTATAGTTTAGAGTCACCAGATTCTTTTGAAACAGGGATTATTCGTATGTTTCTGAAATAACAACTGTATAAATTGCCCACTGACTCCACAAAACTAACTAGCATATTTCAAACAAACTGCCATCAAAGTGTAGCCTATAAGTTTCCAGCCAGACAACATATCTTTCTTGAAGGAAGAAAAAGACTGACAAGAAGCAGCAGCGTTAAGTCCTAACTATGGCACCACTGAAACAATACCACATGGATAAAAAATACTTACTGGCAATAGGCACACCAGTTGGTGACAAAATGTAATACTGAAGATAGGGGAGGCCTTAGGAGCTGTCTTAGTGAATGACTCTTCTATTAGAGTGGTCGCAAAGCAGCAGATTAATGGCGCCTTTAAAATGCGGAGGCTACGGCTAATGTTTATCACGTTATTCATAAGCGTGCTGGCGAGTAAGTGAAGCAAATATGCTTGATCCAACATGAAGGGACGTTCATCAATCAACACCGTTCAGTAAAGCATAGAGACTTTGCAGAGAGTGGTAAAAACAACAAAAATAGTAATAATTTTACTCTGAAACATTGCCATTGCAATGTGCAGAAGTTTTAGCGGATCTTCTGCGTAACACTTCCTCTTCCTCCCAATATCTTCAAATAAAAGAATAATTGACAGTAGATCGTGTGATACAATTCTATCTGACGTGAAGCACAGGCCAAACCATCAAGATATCTCTTCTCTTTCGTCTTCAAGAAATATTCATTGTTTTGTTGAACATCAATTAAAAAGAGTTCAGGAGTACATTTTGCGAACCAAGGACACCACCCAGGAATGGTCATCTCATGCACTGTGATAAACTACCATCATAAAAATAAATCACTCATCTCAAATTATCACCCAATTTAAATATAAATCAAGAATAAGATACGATGCCTCACACAACAAATTTATATGGAGGAATTGACTTCGAGCTTCATTTTTTCTCAAATATTCGTAATCCATCTAACACATACTTGGTTTTTTTGTTAATGCGAAGGCAATATTTCTATATTTCTTAATGTGCTCCATTGAATGACTAGTTAGCAGATTGTACTCACAAACTAACGTCAGAAATGACAAAGAACATGTGATTTCACCATAAATCAAATTTACGTAATGTAAGTAATACTTATCCATGCCTGTGCAGCTGGTGTGTCCTACATTGAGAGGAATAAATATATATTAGTACAATGCTTTCCCATATTTAGTAGAAACTTGCAAGTCAGCGGGACATAAATGTTTTAAATACTCCCCAAAGTAAACAACACTACTGCTAGCTTCACTCCCAGCCTTCCCTCCTCCCAGGTCTTACTAACGGCCTAGTGAGGTATAGCTGTGCCTCGGCTGAAGACCAAACATCAAACCTTTGACGTGGTTTTCTAGCGTTCTGCTGATGAACCACCGACACAGGCTGTTGTCATAAAATCTACTATTCTCCTCAGCTTCTTGTCAAAATGCGATGTCATGAGTCCTCCTCAGATCCGTGGGAAGTCTTTCAATCCCAATTCTGACTAAACTGTAACGTATATATCTCATAATAACTAACTCAAGTACCACTATATTCTGATATATCTTATATATATCTTATGTGTCCAAGGTCTTTGTGAGGCTAACATTAACCCTTTCAATCCGTAATTACTGCTCTCCTAAATTCTGGTTGCGCAGAGGAGAAGGTTCCCTGTTTGAGCAAAGCTATATTTCCACTGAAGACATTACAGACCAATATGGCCAACATTAGATATTACAAGTGAACATCATCGTTTTAATTACTGTCCAGATTCGCAGTGTATAAATTATTTATATGTATTTTTAGTGATGTATTCTAGAAACCAATTAACTGGTCTCCTTGAATAACTTCCAGCTTGCTCCCAGCTGGTTTCCACTAGAAATAACGCTCAGGATTGCTTTGTGGTCATTTATCCTCCTAGAACTGCACTCCAAACAAACTGCCTACTGAATCTTTAGTCTGGCCCACCTAACCTGGTGACCAGGCTGTTATTAACACCAGTCGATCTAGCGAAGGCAGAATATATTAATTACGGACTACTGGAGATGAAGTGAAAAGAGAGTAAAGATGCGCAGTCATACCACAACGAAGCTCTTGATCTCGCTACCACTGGAAATTCAACTGACCATTCTCTGTTTCACTCTGTACAGACAAACAAAATGATCATTGAAGGGATGATGGTTTGGAAGAACCTCCTTCACCCGCTGCAGTAATATCTTTACCTCTTCTCTGCTACGCTTTTCAGTTTCCCAGAAAGATTTTTCTTCCTGGAATAACTTTCAATCTCGCGTGAAAGTGATACCTACTTGAATATTGGTTAATTATCGGTAGGAAACGAAACAAAGTATAGGCTTCCCGCTCGAGCTTGATGACCTGCGTGGGTATTGCGGGAATCGATATTTATATGGCCTTGTTCTAATACCGCATGTTATAAATCAGCTGCTTAATATATAGAAACAGTACTAATTTATTGATATCTTACGATCCGAAATCCATATCATGCATGATCGTGCCTGTGAAATTGGCACGTCCACATGAAACAGAATGAGATGGTCTGCCCATCACTTTAAGAAGAATATCTCTGTCATCTGAAAGTATGTGTTAGTGCGAATCATTTTTTCTTAAAATTCCTGTAGCTTTTTTATACTTTATGCTTCCCATACTACACATTGTGTATATGGCTGTTCTAAGATATCAAGCATCGCTTCATCAGCCCTGGAAATTACTACTGTCTGTGGACCATTTTGTCC